AGAGAGAGAGAGAGACGTTTTCTTTTTCCCCACCCGCAGATTGTCTTGTACACGTCTCTCCAGTTAACTGTGCCTGTGGTGCCCCGTTAAACGTTCTTAGCCTCCCCCATTCAACAGGTGTGGCAGAGGGAGAGAGGGAGCAGGGCCACAAAGCAACAGCCAAGCTAAACACGCTAACAGCATCAACGTCCAGAACGGCACCATCATCATCATCATCAACAACAATAACAGCCTACTCCGCCTCGTTGTCTTCGCGCAGCCACTCCTCCTCAAAGGCGTGCACGATGCTGCTGCACACTGCCGCTGCCGACATGCCCCTGTCGCCGAGGCGGATGCTCTGCACTTGTCCTTTCGCCGCGTACGGCGCATCCACGTCGCCCTTCGACATGCCGCCAACAATAAACGCAAATGGGCGGAATTGTCGCGCCTCAGCAGCAGCGCGCTGCCGCCGCGCAAAGTCTGTTGAGGCGTCACCAGCGGCGGAGGAGCTTGCACCTGCATTATTATTATTATTATTGTTTTTATTATTCTTATTGCTGCTGCCTTCGTCGGTGCCGAGGCCACAGCTGGCGCAGAAGGCGTAGAGGTCCGGCACCGCATCGCCGTCCTTCTCCACGCGTATCAATGTGGAGTTGGGCGGGATGTGGTCCGTGACGGGGTTCCGCACGACGCGCAGCAGCGAGAGGTAGCCGTGCGCCGCCCGCACCTTCATCTTGTACAGGCACGACACCATCATCTTCTCAAAGAGCCGCATGTGCCGCGGCACGCGCAGCCGCGGGTCAACGGCGATCACGACGCCCTTCTTTGTGCACAGAAACACCTGCAGCAGCCCAGCACGGTTGAGTGGGGAGTCGAGGAGGTGCAGCAGCGTCTGGTGCACCACGTCGGGGCGCCACTCGGCGGGGTCCTGCTTGTTGCGCGCGTGGTACGCGCGGTGCTTCTCGGAGAGCAGCTCGAAGCCCCACTCGGTGCGCACCACAGCGAGCGGGCAGTGCTCGAGGATCACAACCACACGCCGCCAGCGCGCCTTGTCCTCCGCCGAGCGGGGCAGCCGCACTGCCTTCTGCCGGTACTCCATGGATGAGGCCCCTCTGCAACCGCGGCTGGGGAGTGGGTGGGGAGGCTGCTTCACACTACGCGCTGCAGTTCTCGCCGCAGTCGCCCACACCAGCAGGGGAGCAACGGGAGACAAAAAAACAAACAAACAAAAGACGGGTTGGAAAGATAAGTGAGTGATGGAAGGCCGCTGGCAGCCAACAACAGGCAACAGCAGAAGACAACAGTCGCCACGCCAGAGCGGCACTGGCGCATGCGCGCACACACACACAGACGCTCACGCTCTCACACACACGCCCGCGCACCTCTGCGCCGTGCGGACGGGTCGAGGACGACTAGCCGAGCGCAAGAGGCCGCGGGACGGAGCCGCGCTCGCCCCGACCAGAGACAGAACAGGGGGCGGCTAGCGCTCAATCTGAAACGTCTCCCGCTCCCTCCCCTTAAAGCACAGCAGGATCTCATTCACGGCGTCGCCACGCAGCGTGTCGCGCACGAACGTCGTCTCCGCGAGAAAGCCAACCATCCCGAGCGCCCCCGTCACGACGCCGCAGATGATGCTCGAGTACCACAGCCGCTCCCGCACCGGCCCCTCCGGCAGCTCCACGAAGAGCGCGAGCGGATTGTCGGCGAATGTGATGGCGAACGCG